TCCAATGGGAGCACCTGCTAGTATTTTACGGGCTAACTGAAACAACAGACTATAGTGTTGTTTACCTATATAACCCAGATGTGTGGCGTTGGTTGTATGGCTACATAAGGAGCAGCTTGTTTGAATAACTCCTTTGAGCCCATGAACATACGACCCCATGCAACGAGGATACGTAATGATCTTCTGCGACAATAGGTCCATAATTTGTGACGCAATATGAAAGATAGACTACGACTACTTTGGGATGAGATCCGAGTAGCAAAAGAAAAAAAGACGTTTTCTCCATAAGTCCTTTTGTAAAATATTTGATAGCGAAAGCCACGATTAATGTATTGAGAGAGAATAAGTGAAAAATGTTTAATAGAGAAATTGTAATTGGGAGAGAGAGATGAGGATGAGAAAAAGTGAGGAAGAGATAATGTAAAGCCTTCAAAGGGCAAGTGGTAGATGTTGGGTGAGTGTGTCCATTAAAGGCCTTATGAGTACTTTTAAAATGAAATAATATAGTAGAACATGAATTCAGTGGGAGTGTAGTCCCTCGTGAACTATACTAAGCAAACAATGTTTGCTGATATCAGACAATACTTAACGGTTTAGGCCAGTTGGTTGGAAAAAACCAATGTTACCTGGGCATATAGTATAAATCGATAAGGGTTCTAATGGGTCATCCCTTGATGAGATCGAAGTATACCCGGATGAGTGAGCCGAAGGACAGTGTGATCCTTGTGTGTGATGGTTGCCTTCAGAAACGGAAGCCAAAGCCTCATCCATATACCATCGCACGACATGCGTATTGATAAACCGTTCTAGAAAAGAAAATCACATTTCAAGGTGAAGCGTATGTATGTGTGAGATATACCCCTATGTGTCATAAGAACTGTGGTCGCATCAGGTCTATGTGACCTTGACCCGTCTCTAAGAGAGAACCTGAAATCCACAGAAAGTGATTACGACCCTTTGGTTGATCGACCAGACTTTAGTGACCCACTAATGAGCCCCTGCATGGACTGTGGGTCATGGGAAACACTATCAGTTTGACAAAACAAGTGTAGTCTATAGTCCACAGTTGAAGGTGGAGTGCCCCAATGTCTGATTGATTTAATTCTTATATCATATATATTATTTTCTCATCTAATAAATTTAATGATACTTGTTTTATGATATATATGGTTTTAGAATTATTATTTGAAATTTTCTAGATCTCTGGATATTTTATTTATCTAATTTCGATTTATAAAATTAGAGATGTTGATTTTACATTAATTTAAATATTCAAATAAATTTTAAAATTATTTTATTGAGTTTTAAAAATATTTAAAATTGTATGGGGGCCTATTGTGCACATGGGCCAATCATTGCTTAGTTGGTGGGGCCCATGAGATCCTCTCATGGGTGGCTGATTTTCGTGATAAATGATTTTCGCTTATATGCTAAGTTGCTATGTGTTTTGGAAAGGTATTGGCTTGAGGAAGCTTTGAATAGATTTTTTGAAAGCATGAGAAGGCTTGTGCGTTATCTTGGTATGCTCAATATTATATTTAGAATTATTTTATTTAATTTCTATTGATGGGAAAATGGTTTAGGAAATGTTATAGCACATTCCATAATATGGATGCCCCATCTATGGAATGGAGGACTCAAATCTCTCATCCCACAAGTCACCTATGATCAATGGTTCATATTCAAGAGGCAAGCCAAGGAAAGCCCTAAGAAACCCTAATATTGTTCAAAACCAATAAAAAAAGGATTGTCTGTATCCAAAATCTCTACATTTTATCTTTTTATTTCTCTCTTAATAAAAGTTTCTCTCTCTCATGAAAGCCCAAAAGGGGGCATGCCCCACTCTCCCATCTTTGAGATATCTCTCTCCCACATTGTGAAAAAGCCTAAGGGTTTAGGCAATGGAGTTTTTCTCTCTCTCATCTCTCAACTATCTCTCAACTATGAATTTATGCCTAAGGGTTTTAGGGTGAAGCAAAAAGATAATCCATCTTTTTCAAACTAGGTTGCTACGGGGATTCGCCTAAGAGTTTGAGATTTGTGATAAAGGAGTTCATAATTCCCTTAGTGGGTTTAGCTTAAACTTGTTTTCCTAATTGAGATTGAAGGTTGATAGTTGATCCTACGCCATCGGATGGTGGTGATTCGGTGTGGGATGTAATAAGTCCGGTTGAGGAATATCCGGCACTATCGTTTTGTTTCTTCCCATATTTAATTATATTGTCTTTATATTCCCAAGCATATGAACTGTGGATATTTTCTTTGTTTAAAGGAAATTGGTTTAATGACATCAAGGTTTTTAAGATATTGGATTTGTTAGTTTAATTTTCTTTGAAGCAAGAATTATTGAAATAAGATTGTTTGTAAGTGATATTTGCCAAAAGAAAAGAAAAAGAAAAGAAAATAGGTACAAAGAAGAAAAATAAAAAAATATATTCCCCGACAAGATCGCATTAGTCTTTCTTTCAATATCTTTAGACACTGGCAGAACCAGGTTGTCACTAGCTCTCTCCTTATTTGCACCATGGATGTAAGTACGTCAAAAATGACGTATAACACTTGATCCACCAAACAACTCCATATAAACTTAGGAAACTATTCATATGCCATTTTTGTGATTTGGGCTCATAACTTCATGTGCGCTCCCCTTATTAGCCTACAACCTTCTTCCCATACAATTAGTGTTTCAAAATGGTGTTTTAAATACAGTAAGTGTTTCAAAATGGTGTTTTAAATACAAAAAGTGTTGGGTCGGACCTCCACTGTACTTGATCTTGATGATTCTGATCTAGATAAATCGAATTATTCAGGTAAAACGGACATTCAAAAATAAAAAATTGAAAAATTGAATTAGGCAGGAATCTGATTCTTTGATTTGGATCTCCAATTCTAGTAATGGAGTCACCTGAGTCTCTCATAGAATTGAGAACTAAGCGGTGCATGTGACTGATTCTGCCAAAGATCGAAGCCGAGGAATCTGACTGATTCTGCCAAAGATCGAAGCCGAGGAATCCGATGTTGATTGCCGATTTCCAATTTGAATTGGCTAGCGATCATTCACATGCTTCAAATAAGTTACTTTAGAAACAATATAAGCAACTAGTCGATTATACCACCAGCCGTCCGATTGGATTCATCGAAAATACGGTTGATAGGCTATCCGTCAATTGCCTTTGCTTGCACTCCACCTACGCAAGTTTGTTTTTAAGCCAAAAGATATTGGAAAAAGTTTATATAGAGCCGAAGCTCTAAACAATCAAATTAGAGCTCACCGCAAAAATTTAAGAAGAAGTTTTGATTAACAAATATCCTTAAATTGATTATCTCGACATCATGATGCATGTACATGAGAAAAATATGGATTTCAAGTAATAGTGTATCTTGTTGTGCGTTTTTGGACCGTCAATTTTCAAGATTTTCAAGTTGTCATATATTAGCTCGATCTACACTATTTTTGAAGTTTTAAATTTTATAATTAAAGATAAAATGTATTTTAAGGCTATCACAAAGATTTCCAGTATTGAAATCACTTTCTCGACACTATTTGAAGATAGGCTCAAATTTGATTGCTTAGAGCATGGACTCTATACAAACCACACCCAAAGATATTATACTCCCTCTGGAGTATACTGTGCATTGATTCCCTCAGGTAGAATCCTAAGTCACCCAGGATTAATTTTAGGACCTTGGAGATATAGCCTCTTTAGGCTCGATCTCAATAAAAAAAAAAACAAAAAATCCTATTGCACCCTCTACACACTTTGGAAAAAAAAGAAGAAAAGGTCTCAAGGTTGAATAGAGACCATCTAATTATTAAAGGGTGAGATACAAGCGTTAGAAGCTCAAATTTCAAAATTTTTATTTAAAAAATAATCATGCAATGATTCTTAAGATTTCAAATTGGAAAATTCCTCCTAATTAAGACTTTTGACTGAGGGAGAAATGTAAAACTAGGGCTGACAATGGGCCACCTTGTTCCTAAAACAAACTACAACCCAAGGGCTGGGCTAGGCCTATGACGGCTCGGTTTGCCCTAGCTTGACTGTCTATTTCATGTTTTTCTTCCTATTTTTTTATTTATTTATTTTTGACCAGACCCTTAAACTAGCCTATGGGGATTAGGGCTGGGCAAGGGCCAAAGTTGGCATGGCGCAAGAGAGTGTAATACACGTGCCCTTGTTTTAAAGCCTATAACTAAATTCAATATCACTCATGATTAATTGACTCATTTTTAAAGGGAAAAGTTTATATAAGGTTGCAACCTTAAAATGTAGATTCACATATGCACCTCAAAAATCTATCTGCAAGGTTGTTTTAATGTTGAAAAACCCTCTAATTGACCATCTCAACATTGATATGTATGAATATTAAAAAAAATGTTTTTGAGTCCCAAGAATAGTGCATTTTGTAACACATTATTTAAACCGTTCATTTTCCAGATTTTCATATTTATAGATCTACTTGATTTTAACCATTTTTGAAGTTTTAAATTTTCTAATTTAGATATGAAAATAATTTTTAAAATAATTTTAAAAATACTTTACAACGAAATTACATTCATAAAATTTAGAAGTGCGCTTTAATTGAATTGTTTAAAGTAGCAACCTTCTAGAAACCGCACCCTTCTTAAAGAGACTTGTAAATTCAACATTACATTACTCATGCTTAAAATTTTCAGTTCCTTTTTAAGAGATTTTTGGGCAAAATTTCCTATCAAAATTTTATTGGTGGGAAAATTCACATCAGATCATATATATATATATATATATATATATATCATTGTTCACTTCCACTTGTTTTTAGGTCAAGTTCCTTACTATAATATTTTTGTGCGGGAAAATTCACATCAGATCATATATATATATATCATTGTTCACTTCCACTTGTTTTTAGGTCAAGTTCCTTACTATAATATTTTTGTGCCGGTAATTTAGGCCTTGTACGTCGAAAAGTTTCGGCAAGGAAATAAGATAAAATTAATCCCACTTTTACGTGCAAGTCACCGACATTCCTACCTGTCACTTTTCCATACGAAAATGCAGCATCTCCTCTCTTTCTTTCTCTAAAATACGAACTCCATGTCTGATCTCTCTCTAGGAATCGAACTGCTCTCTCTCTCTCTCTCTCTAAATTAAGTTACCCATTTCTGCTTCTGCAGCCCTCTCTTCTCTCTCTCTTAAAATCTATCACTCCCTATTCTCCATCAGACGCGGATAATCTCTCTCTTCCTCTCTCTCTCTCTCTAGAAATAGGCTAATTCCCATGGTCCTGGATTGTCTAGAGAAATCGCGACTCTCTCTCTAAAAATATGACATTTGTCTCTGTAAAGAAACTGAATCACTGTGTTGAAAAACGGTGGAAAGAATCAGAATAATCGCGTCTAACAAGAGGGAGACAAGCTCAAAGACCGGACGGGGCTAGTTTAAGCCAGCCCAAGTGTTTGATACTGGTTCGAAGGTTTTCGGTTTTTAGGGTTCTTTTTACTGTGGGGGGAGGTTTGCAGAAATGGCGGCTGACCATCGTTGTTGCAAGCCTGATTTCTTCATATACATTGCGGTGGTTGTTTTGCTCGTCTTGTTTGCTGGTTTGATGTCTGGTCTCACTCTAGGGTTAATGTCTCTTAGCCTGGTTGATCTTGAGGTTCTCGCGAAGTCTGGGACGCCTAAGGATAGGAAGCACGCAGGTATCATCTCCCTCTCTCTCTCTCTTTCTATCTCGGTCTCTCCAAAATTAATATTTTCTAAATTAAATCTTAATAATTACGTAATGAACTCTTTCGGCATATTATGTAAACTCAAGCTGCTAATCTTGTATCTTTGAAGGAGTTTCCTTCATTTTTCTCTTGGGGTGCTCCAATTTTGCTTTTTGCTCTCTTGGTGTCCTCAGATTTTGCTTTGCTGATGTTCTATTTCTTTATATATGCTCTTGAGCCATGTTCTTACAACTGTTTATTAAAATGCGTTTTTTGCTTCTATGAATTTCTAATTTTTTTAAAATGAAACTTAATGAACTATTACCTTGGCTTTTGGATTTGGAGATGAACTGTTGGTTATTCTTCGCTTGATTCAACCTAGTTCTTCTATATAGTGACAATTTCATTGTTTAAATGGACGATCTGGCTCATAATTCTGTTATTAGTTCCAATTATTAGCTCCAACTAAGCGCTTTGCATACCTGCTGTGAATGCTTAAACACTTGTTCAGATGGATGGTTTCGATTTTTAGTTCATGTGCTTGTTGAATTGATCAGGCCTGCTCTCTTCCAAATGTGAGGAGCAAAATTTCTCAATGTTCACAGAGTTTCTAAGTTCTTGATTAAGTTGTGGACTTACCAGTTGAAGCTGATGTTCTTCATCCCTTAAAATTTATTGCAAGCGTATTGTTCATGGAATATATTGATATTGTGATTTTTTCTGAAAGTTTTGAAGATCTTTTTTTATTTATTTTATTTTATTTTTATGTTTTTTCAAGAAGTCTTAGATTTAATGGGTTGGATCTGCTCAATGCTACTTTCATGGATTTTTATTCCCTCTTTCTCTCTCTCTATCACCCCATTAATTTTTCCGTTAAAATTTTCTTGCTGTTTTTGTTTGATCAAGAAGCTGTTTAATGTGGTTCCTTTTATGCCTCAGATACCAAATAATCATAATTTTCTTCCTTGTACTGGCAGCGAAGATATTGCCTGTTGTAAAAAGGCAACACTTGTTGCTTTGCACACTTCTTATTTGCAATGCTGCTGCTATGGAGGTAGGAGTTTGGTTGGAACTTCTGAGTTAGTATGCCCTCTCAACCAATATGAAATTGTCCTCTTGAATGTAATTCCACTATTCCATGGTGCAGGCACTCCCAATATTTCTTGATGGTCTTACTTCTGCATTGGGTGCTGTATTGATATCGGTGACATTGATACTTATGTTTGGTGAGGTGTGGTTGCCTTAACTTGGTTCATGTTATACAGTGCTACATACATATACATCTCTGTCTTTTTTTTTTTTGGCGTGTGTGTGTGGGTTTGTGCCCCTGTGTGCTTGTGCAGGTGCGTGCACGCATGTGTGTTTGTGTGCTTGCCCACATGGGTATATATATGTATATGGATTCTTTTGATGTCTGCATGTGGTATAATGCTCTTAACCTAAGGTCTCCTTTAGGAACTCAATGGTTTGATTTTTATGGGGCAAAACAACCCAAGATGGTGCTGTGTGGTCATAGTAGCCTGGGTTGCTTGCTTAATGAAATTTGTTTACATATTATTTTGGGTGCTCATTGCTGAATGAAATCTGTTTGTTGAATGACATTTGTTTTCTGCTTATTTTTGAATTGGGATTTGGTCATCTTTCAAAAAAAAATTGGGAGTAAAAGCAGCCACAAATGAGCAGCAAACGTTGTTTTTATAACGGAAAGTCTATGTTAATGATGTGTGTGCACATCAGAATATTCTTATGTTTTGCGTGCATGTGTGTGTGGGTATGCATTCGTGTGCACGTGTGAGTAGCGGTGGATTCATGTGAATTCCTTTTTTTTTTTTATAGTTGTTAAAATGATTAATCCTTGTATTTCTATGATTTACAAGCAGATCATACCACAGTCTGTATGTTCACGCTATGGTTTAGCAATTGGGGCAGCAGTAGCACCGATGGTCAGTGTGCTTGTTTGGATCTGCTTTCCAGTTGCTTATCCAATAAGCAAGGTAATACCTATAGTTCTTAAATTTGTGTTCTATGTCCAAGTTTCCAGCTTGGGTAAAATGCTTAAATGCCTAAAAGTCATGGTTGTATTCATTTTTTTTTTCTTTTTGTGCTTTTTGAGTTATATAATGTTTTAGGTAAGGTGATTTGACCATTCTAATATTTAACCATGCAAATGCTTAAGTAAGGAAATATTTGCTATGTCCACTGTTCAGCTTAGAGAGAGTATTGTACATAGTGATTCTTTTTAATGGTCTATGAGTTTCCATAGTTTGCTGATTGGTAATATCTTTTTTCTTTCTATTGTTTACTTAGCTTTTGGACTATTTGTTGGGGGAGGGACATGTTGCACTTTTTCGTAGGGCTGAGTTGAAAGCGCTTGTTGACCTGCACGGGAATGAGGTATATTGATATACTCTCTTCAGTAATCTTTAACTTTGAAAGGAATCTTGGAGTCCTAAGCTGAATTCCCTCGTTTTTCTTTTCCTTTTCTTTATTGTGAACCCTCATTAATGCTTATGTTTTTGGCTATGCCCCACGATAGTGATTATTCTGCATACCCAGCATGCCCTTCTTGATCACTCTAAATCTAACAGGAAAGCTCTTGGGTTATTAAATTAGTAGTTTTTACTTCATTTTTTTTTTTTCATTAGTCTCCAAGAGACATGATAATATGCTGTATGGGGAAGTAGTTGAGTTAGAATTACTGATGCATTAAATTTTGGAAACATATATTTTGGCTTTTTGTGTCCAATTTGTGGTCGTTGCAAAAGCTGCCATGCTAGTAGTATGTTAGCCTACTGAGCTTCTCTAATCATTGCACATTTAGTTTTATGCTTAAATCCATTTCTCCCAGAAAGATCTAGAGCAAACAATACCTAAATGGCAAAATAAGATCAAGACACATTCTTATTGAACTAGGTACTTGGCATTGTGCAAATGATTATTATAGTTTTAGTATTTTGTTTGTGTCAGTGTGTCACTGTGAGTCTGTGTGCATGTGCAGGCATTAGGAAATATGATTTGTCTACTTTAGCTCATGCCAACTTTGGAAATGCTAGTCATATTTCACTTGGGTTGCCAAAACTCTTTTATTTTTTTTAAATGATAAATTATTTTACCTAAATTTCATTTGGCTGGATGCCATTTGACATGGGCGGTCCTAGCAAAATATATATGAGGTGGTTTCATTTGATGGCTTTTAAGCTGCATGCCTTTATTGACTCATAAGCAGGCTGGAAAAGGTGGAGAACTGACACATGATGAGACGACAATCATAACGGGAGCCCTTGAGCTTTCAGCGAAAAAGGCCAGAGATGCAATGACTCCTATATCTGAAACGTTTGCAATTGATATTAATGCCAAGCTTGATATGTATGATGATCACTATGTTTTGCTCGGTCCATAGTCTTTGTGAAGATTGGAGATGGATGGGTGAATCGCTTTGATGAATATCTCACTGACAAAATGCAAATATGTGTTTCGAATTATCCAGGTACTTGATGAAGTTGATACTAGAGAAAGGACATAGCAGGGTACCTGTCTATTATGATAAACCTACAAACATAATTGGGCTTGTCTTGGTGAGTGTTAAATTGATAGTGCTGATTCTTTAGATGCCTAATCTGCATGCATCAGTTTTGTGTCATGAACTATTGAAGTTTTAATCGTTGAATGTGCTATAAGTATGTCCTTTTTTTTTATGCCTGTTATTTCTTGAACTACCGTACTTGTATTGGTTGCAGGTGAAAAATTTGTTATCTATACACCCATCAGATGAAGTACCTGTTAAAAGTGTAACGATTCGAAAGATTCCTCGGTATGTTTTCCAGGCAAGCTCTAAATGAATCACAACTATTAATTTCTTGGGAAGTGAACCAAATCTGATGGCTGTTCAAACTGTTTGCTTGTTTATTTTATGACAGAGGTTTATGTTTTTAGATTGATTGTCTTACAAGATACTTCTTATATTTTACTGCTTGTGATATTTATTTGAGCTTTTGTTGCACAGTTTCCCTCATATTTTTCTGAATTTTTTTCCTTTATTGTCATGGTTACCTGCCTTGCGTGCTTCCTGTTCAACTATTCACAAACTCTTGGGGTTATCCTCAATGAGGATTCCTCATTATGGTAGCATCTCTGAAGTCTCTAATCACGGATTTCATACTTTCACAAGTAAAGTGCATGTGTGTTTTAGATCAATTCAATTCTTGGGGTTATTGAAAGAAAGGGGGAAGCGAGGCTTATCTTATGCTGACTGTTTTGAATAGTACTATATAAATGATATTGGATTTTAATTGTTTGCGTTGTCCCTGTGCCTTAACAAATAAACTCCTCCTCTTATGCTCTTGTGTAGATCATGTAAGTACGACTAGTGAATTTTGATTCCTTGAGTTAATGTAACATATCGTAATGCATTATTAATTTCTTATTCTATATGCACCAGTTTGATGTAGCAGATATTATTGTCCTATTAACTAATAATGGTTCTCTGTTTGTCTCGTAATTATTTGAAGAACCAAGTCTTGTTGATTCTTGAAACTCATATAATATAGACTTTTGGAATTCCTTCAAGCTTATATGATTGGGGACTGCTCAATAGGATAATAGCCTGTTACTAATTCTTGGTAGATTTTGATTTTGGATTATGTATGTGGATGCTTGGATATTATTTTATAGAATTTTATGAATGTGTAGTGAATGGTAGGGTGATTGATGAAAATTTATTTGTTTTTTGATAGAAATTCTAAATGATTTAGTGATTAAAATGAATACATATATGGATTTAGTTTTAAAACTGTTCTCCCATATGTTTAAACTTCCTCCAACTTCATGCACAAGACCCTTGCTGGAAATTTATACATGCCCCCATCCTTGATAATTGGTCTAAAGGCTCAAACATGTTCATTCCCCTTCAGATTTAGAGTGCGCTTTTCAGTGGTTACATTCTTCTTATTTCTGAAATCTTGCAATGACTTCCTTATAGAGAACATAATAGATTTCAATGTAATAAAGCAAACTGAAGTTGTCCTTCACATTTTAGGAGTCAGAGAGACATAAAAGGAAATGTTTGTCATGCAAATCTGAGCTCCATAGGACACTCAGCTTTGGAAAAAAAAAAACTTGTATTGTTGATGCATTAGCGTGCAGATCCTCTGTTACAGTTGTCAGTTTTCTGCAGTAGACCTGCTTATCTTAGAGGCTTCTAGTTTGCAAATTTAAATATGCCGAATGGGTGAAAATAGAACAATCCAGATACGCAATTTTACATATAATCATGTTTTCCTAAGAAAGATATTCATATTTTGTTCCTAATTTTGCAAAGAAGATATTCATGTATTGCTCACTTTAGCATTTAAGATTTATAACTAGTTTTTTTGAACTTGGCTTGGCCGCAGAACTTGGCCTGTGGCATGGCCTAGTTACTCTTGTGAGCCCATTAGGACTCTTACCCGAGCACGTGCCTACTTCAAGAAGGCCCTCAAAAAGCCCAAAAATTGGGAGAAATAGGTAAAAATAGATAAATTACTCTACTGAAACAATTATTGACTGACTGAAACTATTAAAAAATAAAAAATAAAGCAATTTTATGAATTTAAAGTGAAAAAATAGAAACTTATCCAAAATTTTGATAAAACCAAAATTTTGATAAAAAACTTGGTTCCAAGATCTTCACACTCAATGCAAATCGATGCCACCAACTCCTGTCAAAACTTTGTCCATTCAAATCCCTATACTGGTTTTGGGTTTCGAGTTCAGGTTTAGGGAATCTGAGCTCTTTGAATTTTTGAATGAATAGTGAATACGAAATACAATCTCAAAAAATTCTAAAGTTTTGTGTTGTTGTGGGGGCAAACAAGTCTATGATTGGATGAAGAACTCAAAAATGGGCTTCGGGATGAAATTTCATAAAAATTTGACCATCAGTTGTGAAGAAATTGCAAATTTTGAAAATTGGTGAAAATTTTGGCCGAAATCGTTGATCTCCTGCTTCCATCAAGTTTAATTGTTTTTCTCAAATTTGATCTATCGGTAGAAATCAGTCTATACATAAAAAATGGGCTCAAATCGCACTGAAGTTCAAAATCGAAGACACGAAGAAAAAATGGGAAGTGGATTTCCAAACCAACCACCCCCTCTTTTTTCCTCTCTCCTCTTTAAACTGCTCTTTGTACGAAACTTGGGGGAGGACTGTGTATGTTATATAGTATATATATCCCTGAGTTTGGGGAGGTTTCGGGCTCGTCACCTTGTGAAGCCCGAGTAACTCGGGCGAGTCTGAGCAGGCTCGCCAAGGTTTCAAACATTGTTATAACCTAAATATATGGTTGCTTTAACACTCCAATAAAAGAAAAAAAAAACCGTGGCTGCTGGATAACATGCTTTATGAGCACTTGATAGAGATGCAATTACAAGTAAATGCTCACGCCCTTTTCTTGTTTTTTTGTTTTTTCTTTGCTTGTGTAATGGCAGGGTTCCTGAGAACATGCCTTTATATGATATTTTGAATGAATTCCAGAAGGGGCACAGTCATATGGCTGTTGTTATTAGGCAAATTGAGCCAGGTGTGGATGAGGGTAACAATCCAGTTGATGGTAATCATCCAAATCTTAGTCTAGCTTCTCCAAATTTCTCAGAAACCCAGACAGTTTTATGCTTAATTTGTCTACATGGAAAAGTGTACCACACACCTCTGGTCTATGGTAAAATGGTGCACCTCTGGCCATTCTCCAGGTATGAATGTTGGAGATTAACGGTAATTTCATACTTCCACTCTGGGATGAATAATCTCTACCGTATATCACCAGAAACAGTGGTACCCCTGATGTGTACAATGTCGCATACACCAGAGTTGTATGGTATACTTCCCATTTCTCGTTTAGTTCCCCAAGTTGAAAAGCTTTCAACTCAATTAATCGAAACTTGCTGCTGCTCATTATTATTGTGCAACCTTTTTTTTGTTTTCAGAGATCCTTCAGAAAATGATTTAATGATTTACTACCCTCTTTTTCAATGCTTGTGCGTAGAGTCTGGGAAAGATGTGAAAATTGACATTGGAGATGCACAAACCCCTAATAAAATTATCAAAAACAAAAGGCCACTGCAAAAATGGAAGAGTTTTCCTGCCAATGCTCAAAACTCAAATAGAGGGACTCCAAGGCCCAAAAAGTGGGCCAGGGATTCGTTGCAAGATGTCCTTCGCATCGATGAGAGCCCTCTTCCGAATGTCACTGAACAAGAAGAAGCAGTTGGCATTATTACAATGGAAGATGTTATTGAAGAGCTTCTGCAGGTTTCTCTCTCTCTCTTTCTCGTGCGTATGTTAGGCTTTTGCATCAAATTTGATGTTGTCATCTTTTCCTTAGGAGGAGATCTTCGATGAGACTGATTATCATGAGGACTAGTAGTTACAATATTCTTTCACATGGCGCATTGGGGTGAGTAATCTGAATGGTTCCTGTAATATACTTGTATTCTATACACGTGAGTGCATCATTCAAAGTTGCAGAGCGGAGGTTTATGTCAAGAATTCGAAAGCCATATGCGATTGGAATTTTGGTTGCAGTAGGGTATTAAAGTGAGTGCTGAAGAAACTTGGCTTTTTGAATCTAGCATTTGCAAGTTAATGTGGGTCTACTCTGTCTGTATCCATCATTTCGATGTACCTTTTGCCCTCAAAAGTGCTGTATGGATGAAGACTGGTGCTCTTCTTATGCAAGTCACTCTCTCTCTCTCTCTCTCTCTCTCTATTTCTCAACATTGAAATTTCTCATATCTAAATCTTTAGGAACTCAAAAATCTATTTGTTATTTAAATAATTGTTTAGTGATTTAAAGTTGGATTTTAAATTTATAGAAACAAGGGAGTAAATGTACAATGTGCTCGAATAGGAGTATGAGCTCTATATTATAAGGGATTGTATATAATGAGCCTGGATGGAATTACTTATAATCAAGATTTATCTTTTATACTAGGTCACAATTACTTATAATCAAGATGGAAAATCTGATAGCTTGGATGTATCATAAAATTGGAGAAAATTTATTTTGAACTTTGAGCTTGATCAATGTAATAAATGTAGTCATTCAATTTCACATCTAATGGTCAAAGATTAATTGGGATCAAGTTATCAAAGATTAATTGGGATCAAGTTATCAAAGATTAATTGGGACCAATTTGTATCAAAGATAAATGGTCTTATTATGTACTTTTTTCATATTATAATATATCAAATGGGAAAGGTTTTTACGTTTCCTCTGCAGCATAGAAGTTCTATCTTTCCCTTTATCTCAATCGTACGTTCTGAATGGAGGGTTAAGATTTTTTCAATCACAATGTCATGTCTTTATATCATTTTATTTTTATTTTTTTTGCTATAAACTGTTTTGACATCAAATTTTGGACGTCCATTCTTCTATTAAACTTGTACTAGCAAAAAATATAAAAAAATATTTTTAATAAAATAAAATGACTAAAATACTTTGGAAAGTTTCAAAACGTATTTTGGTTATTATATTTTATTATTTTTAATATTTTTTATAGGTGCGTCTCAATGAGAAGATGGCACTGATCAAATTCTATATGCATACAATTTGTATAAAAAAAACTAAAAATAAAATACTTTGAGACGTCGGATTTGAGATCAAACGGTGAGAATAAAACTTTTATCCTGCAGGAGAGCATTGAAAGCTTGCCCATATCAAATATGGTTTATCGGGGTAGTTGTTTGAGATTAAAAAATGGTTTGTAATTAGTGGTTTTACCAATTATGTCCACACGTTTAAAATGGCCATTTGACTTGGCAAGCCAATGAATTAAAATGTGGTTAACTTCATATATATTGTGAGAGGGTTAGTATTACGTCCATAGCATGTGGACTCTTAAACGGTGGGTGGTTCAGATTGAACCATGCTCATCCAAGGGCTAATAATGAATCTCGTTTTTTGTTTTTAATTTTTATTTTAAAATAATTTTAATCTGAAATTTTGGTTTTAGGTTTATTTGTATAAATAAGATTGAATAAAATTAATAAAAAATATTTTGAACAAAAACTATTGATCAAAATAAATTTACAGGTATTTAGGTAGTTTTACTTAATTTTTTTTAATTATTTTTATTTAGTTATATCTATGGGAATGCACCTACACTCCTAAATTCAGATAAAATATGAGACTGATGTTTTGCAGTTGGATATGACCATATGAGATCTTAACCATTCGAAGGGTGCTTGTGCACCCTTCCACCCATCCACATGGCGTGTTGGGATACCTTTTCCGTTGTGAAAACATACATCTATCCATGTGGCCACTTCATGAACACCCAAAACAGTCGGTCGAAACTCCACCCATCCCTTCCAGTAGCACTTTAAATTTCACAACTCTTTTATAAGTAAATTTATGTTAAATTTCACTACTTCTTTTATAAGTAAATTTATGTTAAATTTCACTACTTCTTTTATAAGTAAATTTATGTTATAAATTTAGGATAATAAGATCGTTTATCTTTGGTATAAGGACGTCACAAGTATTTATAACTATCCGATGTGAAATTTGATAGTTTGGATGTGCCTTAAAGTTCATCAAAATTTCTTTTGAAATTTGAGTTTGGTGAATGGAATAAATGCAGCTGCTCAATTTCACATCTAATGGTCAAGATTAATTGTGGCCACATTATTTCAAAAATAAATGGTCTCATTTATATTTTTCCTATATATTTATGAACAATATGGTTGACAAATATGCATGTACAAACTATTATTTAGAATATTCCTCTTTTTTAGATTTCTTTCTTTTTCTACTTTTCTACAATTTTTTTTTTGCTTTGACCCTTTACGAGAAAATTTCAAGAATGGCCAACTTTTTTAGAACCCCTCGAAGATAACCTGCCCGCCAATTCAGAACATAGTTAGCAAGTTTATGTTTAAAGCACGATTTTTTTCAAAAACCTCCGATTTTTTGAAATCTATTAAGAACTCCAAGTTTTTCAAAAGATCTTCAAAAAATCACGTTTTTTTAATAGAAACCGATATAAATCTGTATTTTATCTTTTCTCAAAAAAGATTTTTTAAAAAAATTCTACCCTATAACTTTATTTCTTCATTAACTTAATTTTGTTGAATTTTAGTTTAAAGATAACCACATTAACATTGGGAATAAATTAAGAAACTCGATTTAACAAAAAATTCTATAAAATTTTTCACTAATTAGCTCCCTTAAAAAATTGTACGAAAAAATACAAACAACATATTCCCAAAAAATAGTAATCAAAACAATCATATATCTCAAAATAATAGGTAGAATTACAAGAAGAGTAACCCATGAAAAATCTCTTTTTTTTTTTTCTTTAAACCTATAGTGTCTTTATAAAGATCAAGAGAGAGATTTAACGATACTAAAGATATAGGTAGTTAATAATTCAGTGCAAGATTCGAATTTGCTTAAGCATTTTGTTGTTTTTTTTTATGCATAGAGAAGTTTGATTAATTTCATATTTTATTTTTATTTTTTAATTTTTATTTCATTGAAGTATACAACATAGCATTTTGGATCGACTACTATTTTATATATTTGGCTCTTCATGTTTTCTTTTAATTAACAACAAACTTATATTGTGGGTGTTTCTTATTTTTTTCTCTATACCTTAGTTCACAATTCTTGTTATTTGCTAATTAGTCCTTGTATTTAGTACTGTTGATTGTGTTTCATTTATGCTTTCAATAAATCTATGATATGCTTTTTGTTGTGACAACAGAGTAAGCATTGTTGCTGGATTTATTGAAAGTTTCAACAAAAATGATCAAGTATTACTCTAATGACACTAGTAAGATAATAAAATTATTGTTTTAATGGCTTTGATATATCTATACAATAGCTGCAAATCATAACCCTATAATGCGTCAAATTTAAATATCCAATTCTTTCGTTATGTTTTTTTGAACCAAATCTGAAATGTTCACGATTCTATAACGTACCTTACTTTTTGACGATCCGTATTTTTGATGTTTCGATTTGTCGATATTTTATTGTTCCCCAACTTGCTAACTATGATTCAAACATATCATCATCATTTTCATCCAAACCTTATCCCAACTATTTGAGGTTGGCTCATTCCTAGAGAACCTATTAGGTTAAGAATGGTAACTTTGGTGGCTTATGTCATCTTATTTCTTTGGTGCCTCCACCATTGAGTGTTGAACTCATAGTAATACAATCCCTTCCACTTATCAAAATAAAAAATAAATAAAAAATAGATAAATAAATAAATAAATATAAATAAATAAACATATATATATATATATATATATATATATATATAAACCTTTCACCTACGTGTGCAGCCAGCTCTCTTGTAAAATAAAAGATGGCCAGTATCTGTAAGCCTAAAGTATAAGGTATCATATTCCCAATGAAAAGTACTAAGTCGATTAAACGGCCAAACCGTGAAAAAGTTGTTATTTGTTGTTCTTTCTCAAGCAAAAAAGCCAAAGAGAGACGTGAACCGTAAAGTCTTTGGAGCACAGTTTTTGTTTTATTTGTCTGTTGTCTTTTTCCTAAAAGGAAAATTGTTCCATGGTGAAATCAAACATTGTTTGATGGTGTCAAAAACATCCTAAAAAAATTATATACATTTTAAAGATCAAATTTTTTTCCTTCCTCTTTATGGCCGGCTTGGCTTAGATGATGAAGTTCTAAAATTATAGATACCTCTTAAAATAAAATTTCTAAACATTCTAGCCCCAATATTTTTTCTCTCACACTCTAATCTTGACATTATTTTTTCGTGTATTTATCTTAAGACGAAAATAGCTTTACCCTCTCTCTACACAAACCAGTGTTCACAAAATCGAACTGGAACGGTTAACTAAACATGGGCTTGGAAGCGGTTTAACTGGCCTAACCGGTAAACTGGTTGATTCAACTGCTCAAATAGGCCAAGTCCTAGGCAATAAAAAAGTGCTGAAAAAATAAAAAAATTCAAAAAAATCTACTAAAATATGAAAAGCATATAAAGAATGATTAAAAACAAAAAAAATTCAAATGAAGTTGAAAATTAATGAAAAAAAATAGATTTTTACCCATTTTATATTTCCAAGTGCTATTTTTTTAATTTTCTAAAAAAGATGGAAAAAAACAAAAGTGAGTATTAATGTCCAAAACAATTTTTAATCTTTACCATAATATAAAGAATATTTAAAAATGTATTACAAATCAAATTCTTTAATTTTGAGAATTTATATGCATTTTTTTGATTTTTTTTTAAAAAAAATCGGTTAATCACCCTAACTGCCCAAAACCAGAATCAGCCAATGACCGGTTCCGATCTAACCTGGTGGTTAGCAGTTGGATTGGGCGATCTACTGAACAATGACACAAACAAAAGTAGCTTTTTGAGCTCTCTCTACTCTCTTTCTCTCTCTACCCACCCTCTTTCTTTCTCTCTCTATTTATCCTCCTCTCTCCTCTTTTTATCTCTCTCCCTCGTCTCGCACAAATATTTCGGTCCGGCACACTAGGTGTCTGACCGCCTTAGAGGACCAGAGGCTCTTCTGGAGCAATACATGGTCTGCCACACTAGGTGCCAGACTGAAATTTTTGTACGAGAGGAGAGAGAGCGAGAAAAAGATAGGGCAGGTAGAGAGAGACGGTGGGTAGAGGATGAGAGAGTTCAAAAAGCTAACATATGTTTGATTTTTGTTTGTGTAGAGAGAAGATAAAGGTATTTTTGTTTTAAATTTGTTGACTTCATGACCGGATGAGTAAATACAGAAAAAAA